CCTGGCCACAAGATAAGCAGTTGTGCTCTCCAGTATGCTCCCACCATGATGTGCAGCTACAGACTCAAAAATAATGGGCTGAAACTTGTAAAACTGTGAGCCACAGTAGACCCTTTCTCTGTATAGGTTTATTACCTCAGGTGTTTATCATAGTAATGGAAATCTGGCCAACATACTACATAAATTAAAACCACATTCACCAAATAGCATGCATTTCACCCAGGCCTGATGTTATGCACCTATGTTGCCAGCTATAGTACTTGGGAGGCTGAGATGAGAGGATCACTTGAGCCCAGAAGTTCAAGCCCTGTCAGAAAGGAAAAAAAAGAAAAATGGAGAAAGAAAGGGAAGGGGAGGGGAAGGGAAGGGAAGGGCGGGGGAGGGGAGGGGAACGGGAGGGGAAGGGGAAGGGGAATGTAAGGGAAGGGGAGGGAAGGCAAAGGGGGAAGGGAAGGGAAGGGAAGGAGGAAGGAAGGAAGGAAGAGAAGGGAAAGAGAAAGGGAGGGAGGAACAAAAGTATAGTATGAATTTTGCAAAAAGACAGTCATATTAAGGGTATATGTATAAAGACAGCCATGAAATAGAAAGAAACAGAAGTGGAATCAGCAATACATTGAAAAAGAGGGGGCTCTACTATGACTGGATGGCTACCTACTAACCTCCTCTGTCCAGGTGTCCCGTGAGCACACTCCAGCCAGGGTAATAATGTTCTTCGCTGCATCGAAACATCTCTCCTAGCCTTCCACTGCTTCTGGCTACTCAAACCCAGCTTGGACTCCCTTTCCTTCACGCAACCCTGGATCCCCAAAATGGAGCCATGAAGAACCAGGGCCACTAGGGTGGCAGCAGGAGGCTGGCTTGTAGATACAAACTTGGATATGCTGATGGTCACAGGTACCACTAGACATGAAGCCAGACAAAGACTTGTGAGAAGCGATCCTGATACCATTGGGTATCTTGAAGTCTGGGATGTTGAAAAGGAAGGGGGCATCCTGGAGTGTGAGGATGTTGGGGTGGTCTGGTAGTAAAGATTGTTAGGTAGCTGGGCATAGTGATGCACACCTGTAATCCCAGCACTCAGGAGGCTCAAGCAGGAGGATCAGTGTGAGTTTAAGGCCAGCTTGTATTACATAGTGAGATTCTGTCTCAAAACAAAACAAGCAAACAAAAGAAAAAGGAAGGAAGGAAGGAAGGAAGGAGGGAAGGAAGAAGAAGGAAGAGAAAGAAAGAAAGAAAGAAAGAAAGAAAGAAAGAAAGAAAGAAAGAAAGAAAGAAAGAAAAAGAAAGAAAGAGAAAGAAAAAGGAAAGAAAGCAAAGCCTATTAGGGGCCCATGTTTTGATTCTGCTGTCTCATGGCACAAGGCCACCCCACTGTTGCTAAGAAATATTGGGGGCCATGGGGAGTGAGAACTAAAGTGCAAAGAAGAATAAAGAGTTCAACTTGTCTGCAGGATCAGTAGATATCTTGGGAGATTCCACTTCTAGGTAGCTAAGGTTAAAGACAGTCTTCACAGCAGGAGCCAGAAGAGTTGGCCAGGGCCTTGTCACCAGTTCAAGAACATAGTTATCTCCTGGGCACTGAGAATTCACAAGAAGAACATTATCCTTTGAGGCTGGGCCTGGAAAAGCTAACACGATGGTAAGAGGAGCACTATTCATTGGCTATCTGCTATGGGCAAGTGCCCACAGGCACTAGGTAGGAACTGACCTCACCACTTCACAGGAAACAACACTGACATTGAAGAGTTAATCAAGTTATCTGTGACCCCATGACAGGTGCATTTACAATTGCCTGTCCACCCCAATACCCATTCTCACAATGGATGGTGTCTTAGTCCATTTTCTGTTAACAATACCACGGACTGAGTGAGTTATAGAAAAAAAGAGGTTTATATTAGTTCATAGTTCCAAAGATGCAAGGTCAAGGGGCTACATTTGGTGATGGTCTTTTTGTTAGCAGAGTCCTGAGCGAGCACAGAGTATGATAGGCCACAGATAAGGGTGTTTGTATGTGTGTCTTCTGGTCTCTGTTCCTTTTCTTATAAAGCCACCAGAATTCAACCACAGATCTCCAAACTTATGACCCTAATCACCCCCAATGGTCCCACCTCTAAACATGGTCAGATTGATTTCCACCACCTTGATACCTCACAATAGGGGTTAAACTCCAGTGTGAGTTTTGGGGAGACAAACCATTGCAGATCTGTGGAAACAGAACAAGAGGCTGTCAGTAAACGTACAACTGAATAGCCTGGCATCACTGTGAGCCTCCATGCCTAAAACTTTTTGGCCAAAATAAAGCAGCCACCCTGAGGAGAGACACTAACTGGCAGCCTTACTTTTCTTGTGCATCTCATTTCCCTATCTGTCTCTCTCTGGGTCTACATTTTGGTACTAGGTCACATCCTAGATCACTGGCTTCTCTTAAAACCGTATTTGTCCCCAGTCCACAACATACAGCCACAGACCACAACCACCCACAGGCAAGAACTCATTGGGACAGTTTGTTCAAAGCAGCAGCTGACAATGGTAATCCTCAGAGTTCTGCCTTTTGTCCACAACATGCCAAAGCCTCTCTTATCTGTTACACCCATATAAATGATCTCATTGTGAAAAAGGTGTGAGTTCCAACAAAATGGTTCATCCACATTTATCACATCCACCAGGTCCTCTCATTAAGAACTCTGATATTGCATAATGAGCTAGAGGAAAAAGATCCTTCTGTCTTCTTTGCATTCTTAAATGCTTTCTCTTGTACAGACAAAAGTGTTCCTTTCCACAGAATTTGTTACAGGAGACCAGCTCATGCCAAAAGACTGACACATCACTCACTTAAATGCTATGCATTCTCCATAGCGGGGGTACCTTGACATCTGATAAGGGTCAAACTCTGGCTGAAGCACTTCCCACACTGGTGACACTCATGGGGCTTCTCTCCTGACATGTTCTGTAGCGGTGAGTCAAGTGTGACATCTGAATAGAGTCTCTTCTACAGGCAGTGCACACATAGGACTTCTCTCCAGTGTGTACTCTTTGATGATCAACCAGGTGTGATGTTTGACCAAAGCCTTTTCTACATGCCTCACATTTGGAGGGCTTCTCCCCAGAATCCACTCTATGAGGCTGAGCTAGGAGAGATGGCTGACTGAAACTTTTCCCACATTCTCTACATGCAAAGGGCTTTTCTTCTGTTTGAATTCTCTGATGGTTAATAAGATTTGCTTTTTGATTAAAGGCTTTCCCACACTTATGTTTTTTTTTTAATTTTAAAAATAAAAGGAGGAAAACATTAATAGACAGATAACCTTTTACAAAATAGCAAAAGAACAGTACAGACAATACAGAGTTACAAAGTGGTAGGAAATTAACAATGCTTGTTGTATTACATATTGATATCTTCAAAGTGGTTTCTCATGAAAACAGATAGAGACATGCAATACTGAACAATCAAGGACTCACTGACAGTTTCTTTCAGCAAAGACATAGAAGACAGTGGAACAACTATGTTAGCTATCCTGTATATACATACATCCAAAATTTCTCCTTCTTTCCCTTCTCTTTTCCCACATCCCAGTTGCCCTTTACCCTTGAGCGTTTTCCTATCATTTCACAATGTCTATCATACCTCCGAATTTAAATGAACTCTTTCAGGTTTTACACTAGTGAAACAATGAGGTGTTTGCACATGCAGGTCTGATTTATTTCACTTACGAGTATGGTCTCTAGTTGTGACCATTTACCTATAAAAGCCTCAAGTTTATCTTTCTTTATAGCTGTGTAATATTCCATTATATAAAAGTATCACAGTTTTCTTATCCAATCCTGGGTGGATGGACATTTGGGTTACTTCCACAATTTAGCAATTACAAATTGTGCTGCTATGAACATAGGTGCACATATATCGCTGTGATATGATGTTTTTAGATCTTCTGGGAAAATACCCAGAAGAGGATAGCTGGGTTGAATGGGACCTCTAGACCTAGTTTTCTAGTTTTCAGTTTCTCCAAACTGATTTCCACAGTGGTTTCACCAGTCTGCATTCCCACCAGCAGTGGAGAAGGATTCCTATTCCTCCACAGCCTCGCCAGCATTTGTTATTGGTTGATTTCTTAATGCTAGCCATTCTTACTGGGGTAAGGTGGAATCTCAGTGTTGTTTTAATTTGCATCTCTCGAATGACTAATGATGTTCAGCATTTTCTCATGTATTTATTTGCCATTTGTATTTCCTTATCTGAGAAGTGTGTATTCATCGCAGCTGCCCATTTTTGGATTGGGTCTTTGAATTTGGGGGGGCTGATATTTTTAAATTCTTTATATGTTCTAGATAGAAGCTCTTTGTCTGAGAGACAGTCAGCTAGAATTTTTTCCAAGTTTGTTCCACACTTACATTTGTAGGGCTTCTCTCCAGCATGTATCCACTGATGTTTAATAAGGTTTGAATTCCCACTAAAGGCTTTTCCCACATGCAATATACCTGTAGTGTTTTCTCTAGTGTGAATTCTCTGATGTTTCACAAGTTTTGATGCCTCTTGAAAGCACAAATGTCACATTCATTACACATAGGGTTTCTCTCCACCAGATTGAGTTGTATTTCCCTATACTGCACATATCAACAGGTCTTTTCTCTAATGTGAATTTTCTTTTCCCTCTTTTGTTTTGTTTTGTTTAGTTTTTGAGACATGGTCTCACTATGCAGTTCAGGCTAACCTTGAACTCACTATGTAGCCCAAGCTGGTCTGAAACTCATGACCAACCTCCTGCCTCAGGCTCCTGAATGCTAGGATTGCAGGTGTGTGCCACCATACCCAACTCATGTAAGTTTTCTGATGTTGAGTAAGGTGTGAATTTTTGCAGTTTTTTTTTTTTTTTTTTTTTTTTTTTTCCTGAGACAGGGTCTCGCTATGCAGTTCAGGCTGGCCTTGAGCTCACCTTGTAGCCCAGGCTGGTTTCAAACTCACAACGATCCACCTGCCTCAGCCTTCCAAGTGCTGGGATTACAGGGGTGCACCACCACGCCTGGCACAGGTGTGAATTTTTGCTGAAAGATTTTCTACACATAATACATCCACCCAGGGAGTTTGATCCACGCAGGATCTGTCTCCTGTCCACTTTCTGGCTCCCACAGAAAGCCTTGGCCACATGTCCTCCATCTAGTGGCGCTCTGTCCTGGCCTGTCCCTCTGACAAGCAGCAGACTTGTGCCCAGAGACACACTTTTCTTTAATTTGGGACATTCCTCATCTTTCTCTGCTGTACTGGTTTTGAGCAGAAAGCTGGTCACTTGCCCTGAACCTCTCTTTTGGGAGAACTTCCTCTTGCCCTTTATTGTGATTCCTGCCCCCCCATGAATGTTCTGTGGCTATCTCAGTCCCATAAGCTAGTTGACACTCAGACTTCTCTGGATTGCCTCTTAGGAAAACTTTCTGGGTTACTCCTTGTGATTCTTTTTCAAAAGGTTTTTCCTTTGGAGTTAACTGTTTGCACTTTGTCTTGACCTGAGAATCTGAAACAAAGAACGGAAAGTAAGGGCTTCTCTGTGAAAGAAAAAAGGAGGTAGTCAGCCCCCTTTGTCCACAGAAGTTATGTTCTAAGACCCCCAGGATGCCTGAAACTGAGGATAATAATGAACTCTGCATAAACTATGCTTTTTCATCTCAGCTTTTCAAAGGAAGCACCTTACAGCTTCTCTTTGGCTCATATAAACAGCTGGTGTCAATATCTTCATGATTTGGGGGTTGTAGTGAGCAAAATAAGCATTACTTGAATACAAGCACTGTGATAGTATTCACGCGCTGATTCCTTGAGCAGCTGCTCAGTGGTGAACAGGTAGATAGCGTAGGCAGAGTGGATACTATGCACAAAGGGATGATTCACATTACAGGTGGAATAGTGAGGGACAGCGAGAGAGTTCATCAGACTACTCAGACTGTTGTGCCATTTAAAACTCGTAAATTGGGGCTGGGGATTTAGCTCAGCGGCAAAGCGCCTGCCTGGCAAGCGCAAGGTCGTGAGTTCGGTTCCCGGTACCGGAGAAAAACCAAAACCAAAACCAAAAAAAAAAAAAAACTCGTAAATTATTTCTACAATTTCCTGTTGAATGGTTTTAGACTGTGGTTGACTGTGACACTGAGGAAAGTGAAGCCATAGATGGTAGGGTTATCACAGTCACTCTTATAATTGAGCCAAAGCAAATTTCTGTGTAACTTATATGTCTAAGCCTGAGTACAGCTTTATATTCCTTTTTGTTAATGACTTCATTAATTTTATCTTGAACTGAGGTGAGTTGTGTGCGTATCCATTTCTCTCTGACTGGATTGTGAGATACTGAGACAAAGGCTTTTTCACACGTCACTGCAACATCTGGATAGCACTGTGCACAAAGCTCGCACCAACAGCTGAAGAAACATAGGGACTCATTTTAACAGTGCTTGCTTATATTTAACTGTGTTTGCCTACCAAATTCTCTTGGTGCTGAGGATTGGGTAAGGAATGAAGTCCCTGCCCCTGGTCTCGTAACAAGAAGACCAAAAATAGTATATCAAAGTCAGGATAGACAACTCCTTCCCAAGCTAGAATGTTCTTGAAGACAAGGGCTCAGTTTTGCTTGCTTTCATGCCCCATACCTAGTGTTACGGTTTGTGTCTTGTTGTCTCTGCAAAGCCTCATGCAGTCATGGGGCTGCTTCTAGAGTATTTGATTGATTCATGGTCCAATGCTGGGATTATGGGTGTGAGTGCTACATTTGCCCTGGGGCGGGTAGTTTACATACAATATAAGGGAGGGGAAAAGGCTTGCTCTCTGCTCTCCTCCCTTTTTGCTCTTGCTACTTTTGCTATTTTCCACTGCCCTGAAATGTTGCCCTCTGCCATGTGCCACTCTGCCTTGGAGCTAGCTGAGTATGAATTGAAACCTCCACATACTGTGAGCTAAAGAAACCTTTCCTTCCTTAATTTTGGGTGTTAGGTATTTTGGTCCAGAACAAGAGAAAAGTAACCAAAATACCTAGAATGCCTGTGTGCAGGTGGCACTCAATGTGTGCTTGTTGTATGAAAGAGGGACAGGATGGAAGGCATGTTCTAAATGTAGACATACTGGTAAAGTTCTGTTTATACTTAGAAACTTAAATTCAAATCAGTTCACCAGATGGACACTTGGTCACCAAGAAAATGACCATCCTGAGTAGTAGCACAGGGCATGTCACAATGGACTTGCACTTAGAGGGATAGAAGAAGGGAGCCAGTGTTATGGTTTGTGTCTAGATGTACCCTATAGCCTCATGAAGTCTTAGGCTTTTTTGGATGTGAGTGAATCTAGAGTTTGTGATTGATTTAAGGTCCAATGCTAGGATTAAGGGTGTGAGTACTACACTCGCCCTAGGGTAGGTAGCCTGCATACAATACAAGGGATAGACACAGGCTTGCCTCTTGCCTTCCTTTGATTGTTTTTGCTGTCTTCCACCACCATGAATGGGTTGTACTTCTGCCCTGTACCACCCTACCTTGGACCATCTGATTATGCACTGATATCTCTACAATGAGCTAAATAAATCTTTCCTTCTTTAACTTTGGGTGTCAGTTACCTCCCTTAACTTTTATCTCAGCAATGAGAAAAGTAACTAAGATAGCCAGTAAAGGATAGTTGGGGGTCACCCTGATCTCCAAGCCATGTGCCTCATGGCTTATGCACACTGCATCACGACCTCCCCTAGGAAACTACCTCACCACTCACCTGGACAGAAAGGTCCCTGAAGGGCCATGGAATCTCCCTCTCCCCCAGCTAGGAGATGTCCCTGGATCTGGACACTGCAAAACCTACCTGTTCATGGAGAAGGAAATGGTGAGTTTAGGACAGTCAGAGCCGCCTGTGACCAGGGGTTACAGAGGCTGAGAGAAGAAGGCTCTCCAGAGGAGGTTTAGAAGGGAAAGAAACAGAAGAGTGCACTGGGCACTGCCTGCTGGGACTAAGACACCCCAACACGGACTGGGGACCAACCAGTCATGGGAGGCAAGCACTTGAGGGCTACCAGAGCCCTTAGGGCATGGTATTTCTTCAGCATCACATCCAGGTACAGTGCCTACTGCTGAGAACCCAGGTGCTATACCTCCTCCCAAGTAAAGTACACGGCCATGTCCTCAAAACTCATCATGTCCTGGAACCAGAGGCCTTGTTGTCCAGAATACTCACTCCCACCTGATGGGCGGGTGCCCCTTGTACTGAAGAATCTCCCAGTCCTCCCAATAGATTCTCAGGAGAGGAGGGTGGTAGCCCTCAAACCTAGGGTCTAGCTAGGGATGTAGCTCAGTGTACAGTGCCTGCCTGGCAAGCGTGAGGCCCTGAGTTTGATTCCTGGTACCAAAAGAAAAAAAAAAAGAAAAACAAACAAACAAACCTAGGCTCTCTCTTGGAGCCCCGTACCCTAATCAGCCTGGTGGGAACACTTAGCAAGGTGGGTCTGGATCAGGAAGGCAAGCCCCTTCTGAGACTTAAGGGTGTGCTAGGGAGGGGGTCCAGATAGTAGCTGCTCTTGAGGCCAGCTCAATGGGGCTTGGCCACCATGTCTAGTACAGTGCAAGAAGGATGGCACCAGAGTGAGAGCTGCCTGCCCACCAGTCTCAGCCCTGTCTGCAGTGGCCTAGACCCATACTGTTTGAGAGACAGGTATAGGAGGGCTCCCACCCCCTATTTCCTTCACCATGAGCCTGGTATTGCCAGGGAGTCCCCATATTCAAGTTCAAGGATGGTTCACCCACCTCCTTGCTGAGTTCTGAAGATGTGGCATTACCACCATCCCCTCCTGGCAGCACTTTGTCCACTCATTGTGCTGCTGACTTCCCCTCCGCCTCCAGTGAATTGCCACCCCACCCCTACCCCTGCACTAGATTGCCCTCCTCCCTAAAGCCCCTCAAGTCAGTGCCTTGCAAGGAGGCATGCTAAATAGACTATTGAGTCACATTTGGGGATTCCACAACAATATGTGTCCTGTGCAAGTCACCTTACCTCCCTGAGCCTGTTTTCCTGCCTGGCACATGAAAACTGCGTAAGTACCTACAGTTTTAAATTAGGGCCTGAGAAAACGCACTTGGTGATAGCATTTGCTATAGGCAGGCAGGTGCCCCTGAAAAGCATTTGGCTGATGAGGACACATTGGTCACCCCACCTTGTGGTCCCACCTCTCCAGCATCTCCCAAATACCTGTTTCCCTCCACCTTTACAGATCACCCTCACAGACCCCTGCACCACCTCAGAGGCAAACTCTGGGCCCATCTTCTTCCTAGGCACTACTGACAGCTCCATCCTCTGCTGCCCACACTGGTTGGCCTCAGTGTCTACCCATCTCTGGCCATGACTTTGGGTCAACACATGCCCCTCTCTGAGGTTTTGCATTTTTGTGTTCTTTCCACCTCCTCCCAGCTAGTTTCTGTCATCCTTCAGATCTCATTTGGCAACTGCTTCTTTGTCACAGCTGAGGGGAGGCATGCAGTCACAGGCACTGGTAATCTCAGAGTCATACACAGAGATCCAGAGATCAGCTGAGGGCAGGAGGAAGGGAAGACTGCATGGAGGAAATGCAGGAAGGCACTACCCAGGCAGCTGCACCTGCTAGTAAGGGGAGGGCAAGCAGGGAGCCAGGCTGGGCAGGGAGATCAAAGAAGGGCAGCAGGGCTGGGAGGTGGTTTCAAGGGAGGGGACTGAGCCTGGCTGCAAGGCCAGTCGGGAGGGGGCCCAGTGGGGGGGCAGTATCATCTGTGGTAGCTGAGGTAATGAGAGATGGGGGTTCCCAGGGGCATCTGAGGCCTGAAATCCTGCGCTCTTTCCCTGTCCCTCTTTCCCCTGTACCTGCCTGGCCTGTGGCTCCCCTGGCCTCAGTCTCCACATCCAGTACCTCCCTGATCATCCCACTGGCTTAGTGCTGCCTTCTCATCCCTTCTTCCTCTCCCACGGCCCAACTATCCTGCCCATGGGGCTTAACTGTGCAGTCCTCAGAATCCACCCTAGGCCACCTTCATCCTATAGCTGACCATTTGACACTTGAAATTGAATTCCAGGCCTGCCCGGGTCCACCTCCATCTTCAGGTATCACAGCTGACTTGGAGACTGCGTGGCCTTGGTCTCTACCCCTCCCCTCCAGGCCCTAGAGGTAAAACTTTTTCCCTAATTTTAAAATGTCTTAATGTAGCTGGGTATGGTGGTCTCTGCCTGTAATCTGTAAGAGGATCATAAATTCAAGCCCAGGCTGGGCAACATAGTGACTTAGGGAGATCCTGGCTCAAAATAAAAACAAACGAACTGGGGATGTAGTTCTGTTAGAAGGCCCTGTGTTCAATTCCTAGTACTGCAAAAATTAATAAATCCTGAGAAAAAAAGAAAAGATTGCTCAGGCTGCCTTCAGAGAGTGAGGTGGAGGCAAGACACGGGGGGACAGTGGCCAAGGTGCTGCTTTCCACACTCCACGTCTCCACCTTGAGGTGTTATCCTGGCAGGAGGGTTCTCTGCTGGGTCGGCGGAGCGGTGGGGGTGGGGGTGGGTTCTCTGCTCCTCCCCTTCACTTTTAAGGCCTCCCCCTGCCTCTCCACAATGAGATCCCCGTGGGGAGTGGAGCAGAGATCTGGGGACAAGGCATGGCCTGCAGGACACTGAATATGAGGCAAAGGCAGAAGGGGAAGTACAGATAGAACGAATAAACGAAGGAATGATTTTCTCTCACCTCCTCTTTTTCTCTTAGTACTAGAGTATGTCCCAGGAAGCCTCCGAAGTGACTGGCACCGCGGAGCTTTCTGGAGCTGAACACTAGGAAGGCAGTGCGCACGATGAGGCTAATGATGGGGTCTCGCCCCTCTGGGAAGCTCACAGCCCACGGTCCACGGAAGATAATGCTGCCGACCTCGGCCCCTTACCCTCCCTAGACCCCGCCCGGTGACCACGCCCCACACTTTTCCAGACTCGGGCTGTGACCACGCCCAATACCCCCGCCACAAAGCCAGCCGTCACCGCGCACCTTGCACTCTACACAGACAGCGCCGCGCCTTAGGCCCTTCGGGTCACCACCACTCACACTAATCACAGATCCTTACCCCTGACATCGCTCCTGCCCGGACCCTACCGCGTGACCACACCCGAACTTGCCCAGGCCCCGCCTCACAATCCCGTCTCCCACTCGCTGCTTGTGGACCCCTACCCCGCGGGCCCTAGAGGCCGCCCACGCAAAACCAGGTGCCTGGTGCCCTCCGGCCGGTCCCATTCATAGCCCCACTAGCCGGGTAGGGACCCGTCAGGACACAGGCCGGAAGTGAGGCCCGCCCAGCCGCTCTAGGACAGGGAAGACCGCGGTCTCAGTGGTTATAGTCCCAGCTGCCTCAGAAGGGGTAAGAGCAGATCCCCGGGAGTGGAGCTCACGCTGTCCTAAACTTTCTCGGCCCTACTTCTTAGAATGTCTGAATATGCCTTAGGAGATTTTAGAGGTGAGGGCTTTGAAACTGGTGCTATTGGGCATCCGTCAGTCTTCATAGAAGGATTTGGCGGAGGGCATGGTCTGTGGAGGAACCTAAGGATAGCACAATTACTGCCGTTGTAAACCATCCTGGAAAAAAAGCATGGGGTTCCTCCAGGAAGAATTTTTACTCCTTTCTGTTTGAGTGAAGCTCTTCTTCCTGGGTGAAAATGTCCCCAGACTGGGTGGTGTTCCAGCAGGGGAGGAGGATGACCTCCTGCACTGAAGGTAGTGCCTTGGGTGGGGAGGAGGGGACATGCAGATACACAGCATGACTGTGGCATTAATGTATATGTGTGTGCGTGCGTGTGTGTGTGTGTGTGTGTGTGTGTGTGTGTGACTGGGGATTGAACCCAGGGGCTTTGCACTGAGCTACATCCCCAGCCCTTTTTCTTTTTATTTTGAAACAAAGTGTTACTAAGTCGCAGCAAAATCGGCCAGGCTGGTCTCACACTTGCTACCACCACCCCCAGCCTCCTAGAATGCTATGATTACAGGTGGGTGCCACCATAACTAGCTGTGGCATTAAACTTTGATGGCATGTGATTGGGGGGGAGACACCTAAAAGGGTCCCACAGGAAAGCCATATCAAAAGCAAGGCTGAGGGGCCAGGCTATAGCTCAGTGGCACAGCGCTTGCCTGGCAAGCATGAGGTGGTGAGTTTGATTCCCGGTACCAAACCAAACCAAACCAAACGTTGCCAAAAGCAAGGCTGAGGACCGGGCGTGGTGGCACAGCTTGTGATCCCAGCACTTGGGAGGATAGCTGTGAGTTCAAGGCCATTCTGGACTACATAGTGAATTAAAAGTTAACCTGAACTACATAGTGAGACACTGTCTCAAAAAACAAAAACAGAAACAAAAAACAAGTAGGACTGAAAGTAAACTCAGTAGTACAACACTGGCCTAACATTGGAAAGGTTCTAGGTTCAATCTCCAGCACTGAAAGGAAGGGAAACAAAACGAAACAAAACCAATAAACAAAAATCACACACACACACACACACGCACAAGCTAAAAACCAAATCTATAGAGAAAGCTACATCAGCTCTTCTCCAGGTCTCCAGCCTGCTGCCTACCTGCTCTGCAGATTCAGCACTTGTCAACCTCTATAATTCCCTAGAAACAGTCTGTGTCTCTTCCTCTACACACACACACACACACACACACACACACACACACACACACACTTCTCTGAAGAACTTTTAACACAGAATCCAAAATCATATGCTGGAGTTACTAGTGTCAGATTCTGTTTCATCGATTTACTGATCCTTGAACTGTGAGTGAGATATAATTTGAGCATTTCCACCCAGAGTTGTCTCCTGAGCTTTTTGCAGCAGTGGATGTGTTTACCTGCAGTGTCCTGGGCTGGCTGCCCCTGTTCTACCCACGAGCCACAGGCGGGTATGGAGCACATAAGATGTAGCTATTGTAACTGACGAAATGATTTTTAAAATTCTATTTAACTTTAATGTAAATGGGCATGGGAGATTGGGAGTTATGTGCTAGAGTGCGCAGTACATCTACCAGAGGGTTTCTCAGCCCCAGCACTATTCATGTCTTGGGGCTGGGTAAGTCTCCACTGTGAGGGAGGGAAGTCTGTCCTGTGCACTGTTTTTTTTTTTTTTTTTTTGGTTTTTCTCCGGTACCGGGAATCGAACTCACGACCTTGTGCTTGCCAGGCAGGCGCTTTGCCACTGAGCTAAATCCCCAGCCCCTGTCCTGTGCACTGTAAAGTGTGCAGCAGCAGCACGGGGCTCCACCCACAGGATACCAGTAGCACCAGCTCTCCTGTCCTAACAACCACAAAATGTCTCCAGACACTGCCAAGAGTCCCTGGCAGAGCCACCTCTGGCTGGAAGCCATAGCCTGCTTCCGCTATGTTATGATGGTGCAGGGAAGAAGTCCTGCCAACAGCCTCACTGGACACCAGAGCCTTTGGTGGGGGAGTGCTTCATCTCAACTGGTAGAGAGAGAAGTAAAAAATGGCCTCTATGAATAGCACCTCTTCCCCTCTGCAGGCAGCTCCTTGGAAGAGGCTATAAGTATTAAAGGCAGGGGGTCATAGGTAGGAGAAAGGATAAAATAGGATCTCATTAAGCTTTACTAAAGAAATTAATAATCTTACTAAAGGCAACTTTTGCCTCTACAGTTAAACTCCAACTGTCAGAAAGACAAAGGTCAAGAAAGAGAAACCAAAAAAAAAAAGAAGAAAGAAAGAAAGAAAGAAAGAGAAAGAAACCAGACTAGGGAAGGTGCCAGGTAACACAATTCACATAAAAATTTAACAGGAAGAGCCAACAGACAAAACAGGGGAGCAGTCAGAAACATAAAAAGCCAGGATAACCAGCTCCCACACTCACAAGATAAAATACAAAGGAGACAAGGAACAGTCACCTAAGGACTCTTATTTAATATATATATAAAAGACACACACACACACCTATACATATATACTTATATGTACATTCTCACATTAGCATTACTATACCACTACATCAGATATACACATGGCCCCTTTACTTAATTTCTAACTCTAATCTGACCTTCTATGAGGCTTCCCTTCCCCACATTTATCCATCACAGAAGGGCAGGAAGAAATCAAATGGCCAAAAGAATGTAGAGGTACCCAGGCCAGGCTAGCCAGAGATCCAATCAGACTATTAGAAATTCCAGATGCCCAGTGTAGGACAGGGACACCTGTCTTACAAAGCTGAGAATAAAGACCCTCAAGTATTCACTTTCTAATACCCACTACTCTTCCTGAGCAGTTATCTATCTTGTCTTTTTCTGTCCTTTTAAAATAAACCGTCTTCCTTTATTTTAAACTCTGCCTCTTTAATTCATTATTTGTGTTGAGAGTTTACAATCCCAGTAGCTGCATGTTCTAACACAGCAGTGGTGTGGTGTGTACACCCCAAGACGTGGCAGTATCATCAACCTAAATCTGCTCAGATCATGTCAGCATCCAGCGCAGAAACTTCCCTGGTTTGCCCACTGACTACAGGGTCCAGTCTAACTGCTGACACATGTTCAGGGCACTTCAGGCCAACGGCTCATCCGTCCTGACACTCAGCCGCCGTCACCCCTCCCTACCTGGGGAGGAAGACACACTCCTCTGTGCCACTGCTCATGCAGGTCATAGGGCTGGTTTGCCAAGTCACCTTGATCTGATTTGTGAATTTAGCAAGCCATTGTTTTAAGAAACAAGCTTGACTACATTCCTTAAATTCAACTATATTCTTCCATGAATAGGTCTTTTGAATGTATTCAATGACTAGCCTCTTCTAAAGGATAGAACTGTGTTATTTCTAATTCTTTTGAGGAACTGTTATTTCCAAGCCTTTTAAAGATAATTTTTATGTTTTTCTAACTTTTCAGTATTTCTAGGACTTGTAAAACAATCATGCTGAATGATTAATTCACCAAATCTACCCGTTCCACATTCAACTGGAAAAGGAGCACTGGGGATGACTCTGAGTCTACAAAACTGCCAACCTTGGTTTCTTTTCTGTGGCAAGGGAGGTGACCAGGTGGAGGGTTCCCTTTAATATCACTGAGATATTTCAACTTTTATTGGTTTTTGAAGCAATGTGCTTTTAGGAAAAGCCTGCTAAACTGCTGCGGAATCTTTTTTAAATCAAGAAATCAAATGTTAAAGTCACCATTGTCTCACTATTTTGTATCATGTGTCATTATTTGAACTTTGTCTCAGAAGCATTCAGAATATGCTCTTATGCAACTGTTTAGCTTGGAATTGATGGTATCAGTTAGCTTTACTGCTTTCACAGTTTCATTAACCAGTTAACTGACACAAAAATACACACCTTCATTGGTGAATAGAAGCCTTTTCTAGCCATGTGCTGGGGAGAGACTCTGCACAGAGCACGAAGGCATATTACATTATTTACAATAGAAAATAAATACAGTCTCTAGGTGACATGCCCTGCAGGTTGGCTCTCCTGACACATGCAAGGAACGTCTTGTGTACAAAATAGCAGCTGTCACATTTGATGGGTGGTGGGTCTTTCCAAAATAAGCCACTTGAATAGCTTGTCACCATTTTCTCACACATAGAAAATAGTCAGATGGGTGGAAGCCAGAATCTAGTTTGTTTGTTTTGGTTTGGTTTGGTTTTTCGAGACAAGGTCTCATTATATAGCTCAGGCTGTCCTTGAACTCCCAGTGATCCTCCTGCCTCAGCCTCCTGAGTGCTGGGATTACAAGCATGCACTACTATGCCCAGCTGTTTTGTTTTTAAGATATGAGGCCTTGCTAGGATGCCCAGGGTGGCCTCAAACTCCTGGGATCCAGTGATCCACCTGCTTCAGCCTCCTGAATAGCTGGGACTATAGCTACACCCAGCATGCATCTATTAGGTGTTGACCTCTTAGCCCCTTATCACGTGGATTTCT